CTAATGGCATCTTAATGGATTGCTGACCCATTTCCTGTGGGATGGCAGCATGCAAGTCTGGCTGGAATACAATTAATTTCTTAGGAAGTGTTCTGAAGAGTTTGCCTAGATAAAAAGGAAACGACATGTTGTACAAACCTTTCTTTATAATAGGCAAAGTTAGCCAAAAACTACAACAAATCTCACTATATCTTCCACAGTCAAATTGGAGATACGTGTGCCTGAAAAAATCATATCAAGATCACTTTTAAGGGTGGTAACATGTTTAGTTTTGACGGTATAACAGGTGCAAATGATTTTTATGAGAATGGAGAGGAATTCTTTTCATGAGAATGTCCAAGTACAAAGAGCAACACGAGTTAGCAGCTCTTTTATCGAACAATGGGTATGTACATTTTTGGCTTTTGCAATTCTCAGTCGTGAACTGAGCATTCTTCCATTCATCTATCTCATCAGCATTTCTCTCATGGTCCCTCAGTAGTGCTAGGGGTCCAGAATGATATATAAAAAGTCGAACATTCTGAACACATTTCAGAGCTAACAGCTGAAAAGGAAATTCAGCACTCTGAGAATAAAGCTCCCCCCAGGAACTCCAGGAACAACCCAGCTGTTGTACTCTAGTTATGTGTCAAGATAACAAACTGAGAGCAGGAAATGCTAACCTAGTGAATTCGCAGGGTTGGTCTAACTCTAAGGTTGAAATAAAAGTTAACTCTTAATTCTAGCTAAGGACAGGGTACACATTGGCCTTACCACATACGGGTCACGTATCTGTGGATAACACAAATACATGGATGTGCATACCAACATATCATTTGCAACCCAGTATAGAAAATTACTTTTGTTTAAGTACTCATCATAAAATCTTTTGGGAGCTTACATTTTACAAAGAAAATGCTAGGCACAAAGCAAAAAAAAAAAAAAAAAAAAAAAAAGGTAAACGGCTAAGGGCAGTGTTGTGCAAATAGTTATATGCATGAAATAAATGCTGTTACTGCTTGCTTTTTGCCCTGCCTCTTCTGACCAGCAAGATCCAAATAACCTTTACTGGCTGCTAAATTTCTCTGGGGAAATCAAGAAACTCTCCAGAATTGCAGTAATAAACGACAATTTCTTACAAAAACATGTGTAAAGTAACTACAGAATGAAGTATTCAGCTCACAGAAAGGAACTGCTAACACATGTAACATGGAAAATAGCTGATAAAAGTCTCTTTGGTGCCATTCAATTATGGCATCAGCAGAAACACAAAAATCCTTCCAATTATTTCAGTAAAATCTTCATTTATTCATTATTTCAGAGGCTGAGCAAATGGTTTGTGTAAACATATCCTTCAGTAACACGCGCATGTTTATTTTAGCCATCTGAAGGCTTCTTCTATGTTTATATAAGCCATCAGACACATACAGCCACTCACTTGTGGCTTTGCATTTTCCTGAAAGGGGTGAAGGGGGAGAAGGGAGAATGAAACAATAAATCCAGTTTCTCTTTTGCATAAAGCATTCACTCCAATGTTTTAAAATAACTTATGTTTATATTATTCTTGGACTGTCCTCCAGCTTTCTTTTTCATTCAATTATATTGCTCTTTTATATTTGATAGCACCAGCAAGGTTCTGGCTATAGTTTCAAGAAAAAAAAAAAAAAGCCAGTTAGGGATAGCCGCCTTGTGTGTTTATACCCACATAATTCACATCTGCAAAAACAACATAATTTGTCCACATAACAGGACAAAGCACAAACAGCACCTAGTTTAAGCAATCTATCACCTGTTACCCACCCAAGAGCTGAGCCCATCTTTACTGAAGTGGGGGTGAGGTCTTCATCAAACATACTGTGTTAGCTCTAAGAACCAACCTTTCACTTGGACAGATAACTTTATTTTCTCACAGTACAACCACTCTTCAGATCATAAGAGCAATGCAAACACACATACAAAGGGATGCAGAAAAACGGCTCACAAAATTCTAAGTTCGAAACAAGAAATCTGTAAATCTGTAAATATTTCCCAAGTGTCAGCCTTGGTTCCTTAAGAAGTGTTCCTGTGCTGGAGTACAGTGGGGAAGACAGAGGGAATCCAGCTTTGATTATAGCACTTGCTCGACTTGCTGGGCCCTGTGACTTTCCATCCCTGAAACGGAGACCCTGGACATGGACACCGCTCCAGAAAGCAACAGGAGACAACCATGGGCAAGTGAAACGGCCACAAGCAACAAGATGAGAGCAAAATAAAGCCAAACCAAAACAACCGCTCCGTTTGGTCCTTTTACCATAAAGTATCTAGGGCTTGCCTTTTGTTAAAAACAAAAAATAATAGACCCAAGAGTGGTCACCTGTGATAGTTTCTTTATTCTGTCATGCTGAAAGTAAATTATTTAATTCTGTGGCTGACAGATCTGCATGCTGCAGTATTTTCAGGTCAGTGAGATGATTCTAGAGCTAGAGGCATGTGCTTGAAGATTTTAGATTACAACAGTCTCTCTTAAAAGTGGTAGTGTTGCAGACAGTAATGCTCTTTATTAAATATAATATCTACCAAGAAACCCATTAAGTTTTAAAAACAACTACGGGGCACAAAGTATAAATTATGCATAAAGCCACTGCGCCACAGATCTGCCTTACTTGCCCTACACAATATGGGTGGTGTCCATTTCTGAAAATGGTCACAAAGCAAAGCAAATTGCTGTCTGATTTGAGTATATTTATTCTGAACCATGATAGTTCAACTATCTGTGTTGTCTTCTGTGTCCACCACAGCATGTAGCACATCCCAACACTGGGATTCAGTAAATACCTGTAGAATGTACAAACGAGACACCTGTCATCATCAATTATGTGCTTTCTGAGTCATGATTAAAAGGGAAGAAACAAACAAAAAGCTACCTTTGTAAGAGCTTTATGAATTATTAGTGCCATTCTACATTGTATTATTTACTAATTCAAAGAAAAACTGCTATTTCTGGAAGAGAAAAGAAAAGAAAATCTTAATAAATTCTGAATCTTTTTTGACTAAGACCTGAAACTGATTACCACAATTTTTTGTCAGGGAGATTTGTAGCATGAACAATAGTAACCTAAGAACTGAGTTTAACCATCATATTCATTCATTTGACCATGCATTCTGTGACACACTGTCCATTCATTTCGTTTTAAGAGATATCATTTTTGATTCAAAAAATATTACTAGCTATATCTTAAACTGCCAATTAATTTGTATCATTATTGGTTTTTAATGTACTTTAAAGGTGCTACCCTATTTCAGATTAAGTAAATGCCAATCAGCAATCAAAGATCTGGAAGTTCAGATAGCAAGAGGCACATTTAAAAATCACTGGTACAATTCATCTGATTTGTAAGTCTAAACAATATGGCAAGCTTGTATGCACACATGAGCCATTTTGCAGATAGGCAGAACATCAGATACAAGGAGACTATTTAATAAAGCAAAATGCAAACACTGTGTTATCAAATATTAATTCAGACACTTAAATAAAATACTTTCATTGACTTTAATTAATACTATTAACCCTCCAATACTATTTAAATAAGATAGTTCAAGTACATTTATCCTATTTTCCTAAGTATATATTGTAATCCTCCCCCAGAAAGAGGACTAATACATACTTCTTGAGGGAAAAAAATCACAATAGGTGAAAACAGATCGATTTTTAAAGCTGATATATCAATTTTTAAAAGGAAGAAAAATCATAATATAATCCTGTAAGTGTTAATAGTTACTGAATTTTTTGAAACATAATCTGAATATCTTTCTTAAAATTTGTCTCACTTAAAATGGAAATTTAATTAATTTTCATTTTTCCCAACTTTACTCTTCACCAGTTTCTATCAAGCACTGCGGAGACAAGGAGTTCCTTGCAACCATCTCAGTGGGGGCGCTTTCTGTAAAGGAAGTTCTAATCACAGTAGGGCTGGAAAATCATGCTGGGCCTACTTTTGTTAAATTCAAGGGATTACTTTACCCTCTTTCACAAATTTTTACCTCTTATTACATATGATTATACCATTAATTTTGATTATTTATCAATTTGTCTCAATTGCTCTTTATGAAAATGATACATAAGAAGCTACCTTGGAAGTACTTCTTTTTTTTTGAAACCAATACACGATCTTTTCCCTTCATAAATCCATCAAAAAGAACAGTTTGTGTTTTCATTGTTTGATCTTTTTTTATGCCTAAATCTTGTAATCTGAATAACTACTTTTAAAATAACAATATGTAATACATTAGCTAGTGTTAATTTTCTACTATTTTTCTAAGTTCTGTATCATTTTTATCCCTTTTCTTGTTTTATTTTTAAAATTAAAAATACCCAGTACATGAGTCACTATTAAACTGGTTTTGAGAATGAAGGTTTAGAATAACTTTTTCAATCAATCAAATAACAGCAATTCTTGAGGGGTCCCATCAGAAATTAAAAGTCTCCTTAAACCAAATTCCTTCTTTAGCTACTGATTCCAAAGATCATCCCACTCCAAAATTTGTGGGTGTTGCCTGTAACAGCTAAATAAATGAACTTCGATTTTTTTTTTCTACTGTTTTCTCTGTGACAGAAGAATAAGTGAGTAGCAAATTGCTTGGTGTTAACGAGAGAGGGAAGAAGCAAAAGGAGAAGAACATGTACAATGAAAAGCTAATGCTTTAATACTCAGCTGTAAAAACATCTTTCTTAAAGCTGTGATTTCATAATTTTGGGGTCCTAAAATCTACCTGTCTAATTTCAGCCTCATCCGCACCACAACTATAAGTAGTATTGAACATTTGACAGTATTTATAAATTTCAATCATCAGGTATGATCCCAAATTAATTTGATGTGACACTTAAATAAGAAAAAAAGAAGAGGGGAAGGGGAACAAGGGGGGTAGAGCCAAGACAACTAAGTTTTTAACATATATTTTCTGTAAAACTAGTTAAAAACAAACACTACAGGTCAGTTAAATTTTAGATTTCAGTGTAGGGTTGGAAATAATTAAAATGTTACCTTTGCCAAGTAATTCCCAATGTATCCTCACTGGTACTGGGGTATAAATGCCTGCCGTTTTGATTCACGGTCCAGTCACAAATCCTCAGCTGTCAATTGAAACCTAGCAGTCAGATATGGATCGAGCAGTACTACAGTTTTTAGTATTTAAATGAACACATGCAAACTAGTACTGTATATGGCATTAACCTTACTTTCCCAAGAGGCAACTTAAAAAAACAAATAAATAAAAGCAAAAGAAAATCTTACTCTGAAAAGCAAAATTTCTAGACTCGTTTTTTAGAAAAAGCTACTGTAATATGCTTCTCTATTAAAGCATACAAGAGAAACAAGTGCTTAGAACATAACAATTAGCCATTATTAGAGTACAAACCAAGCTGAAATAAAAGCAAATGTTAATGTTCAACAGAGAGATATATTTTAGAAAGAAAACAAAAATTGCTTTTTTCCTATGCAACATACTAAATCATGTGCACTGAGTAAAATAATCAATAACTTTAAGCATGCATTTTGCACAACAGAGGACATGCAGTTTAGAGGAGAAAGCCCCGCCCTAACTTACATGGGGAAGCATCAAGGTACTCAGTTCTAGATGTTTCCTAATTTTGTTTTACGGAAAGTGGCGTTGTTTAGAAAGAGGTGATGAGATTTTCTACTTGTATTTTAAATTCAGAGTAATGGCACTTAAAATACTTTACTACATCTGAAGAAAGCAAGGAATGTTCTGAATACAAGCTGAAACAAATTCTTCCCAGATCCTGGAATCATCAGCACTGCCCTTTAGAGCTCCTCCGAGTAACCCTACCCAGCTCTGTTTGGTTAACAGCTGCCCTACAGTGCTAGCAGATTTATTGAAAAGATATATTGCTTATTTTTATGCTTAAGAAAGTAAACTTATCTGGCTTTGGGGGGAAACACGCTAGAAAATCATGGTTTTTAACCTTTAGATAGCCAGGCTGTAAATTAGCCTCATCCTGCCCTGCAAAGAGATTTGCTGCTGCTGGCCACTGAGCCTGGTTTGCCAGCCTGCAGGGAGAATCTCCTCTCTAGATGACGAGTACAGCCCACATGCCTCTAAACTTATGGTAAACTGTCTGAATCTGCTCTGATAACATTGTAGTTAACAAACATCGTTTATCAGAAATCTTTACTTTTTCTTTCAGACTCTCAAGTTCTCCTACTTTGTGTAAATAATAGTGATCCTGGAGTTTCAGAATGACAGCTTTTTGCTCATTTTCACACAAATCTGCAAGACCTCAAAAATGCAATCTCAAATTTCTCAAATGTTTTAATTGTATTGATAAACAATGAATTTTATAAAGAACTAAAAAAATTCCCTTAATGTAGATTAATAAAGACAAGCATATGGATCGACAGATAGACAAGTTCTGTTCAGGGTATGTGTCATAAAAGACAGTAGATAAATTAGACAAAAAAACTAAGTACTCTTAAAACAGATGATAATACTTGCACAAAAAAAGAAAAACTTAGTAGTTTTAAATCAAACAAATGACATACTTTAACACTTCAAAGAGGTAACTTGTTTAGATTAGAGTGTAAGAAGCAATATGCCAAGATGATTTTAATGTTCTCAAAGTGGGTCACATAAGTGAAATTAAATAAGAGAGGGTAAATTGTTTGTTTTTAACAATAACAGAATAAACCAGTTGTCTGCTTCAAAATACAGGTTCTGAAAGAGCTTTGAAAACCTAAAGCAGCTCAAGAAACCTGACTTTGCATAGGGATTACCTTAAAGACCACTCACTCATCTTTTTATCAGCAAAAATGTAAATTTTGTAATCACAACCATTCTCAAGAAGAGAGGGGGTACATTCAGGCATAGCACATCTTAATTCTGTAAATCATTAGCTTCAGGTGGGTTAGTTTCTACACTATCTTCAAGCTTAGATTGGAAAAGAAAGTGATTACCTTTTCTTATCACAAGAGAGACTTTGCTGTCACTGCTTTATTGTCTCATAGGCAGTCTTATAACACATCCTCTTTTTGGAGAATGGTTACATGAATTGTGTTTTTTTTTTTTTTTTTTTTTAATTTTTCTCAGTTTTGTTTTGTTTTACCAACCCTAAAAGGGTCAACTGGGCTGTCTTTGGCCAAGTGCTAAGCACTTAAAAATCAACATATTTTGAGATTTTTTTTCTGTCCTAAGAATAGTTTCAAGGGGTTAAAATGACCAGAGCTATTCTACTTCATCTATCCTTAAATACATATAATAGAAATCTCCCCATCAGAAAAAATGTGCTTAAATACATACAAAATAACCAATAAATATATTTGGCAATAATCAATGGATATTAATCAGTATTGAACTAATTTCCTTTCAGTTACTAAAATTATAAATATAATTTAAATACATTTCTCTGTTTAGCTTGTAGAGCAGCATTATCAAAACTTTCAGAAGTTTCTGAAGAGAGATGTTCACGCAACACGTGCTTATGTGCTATCACTTAAGCCAGGTTACCTGAGCTTATGTTCTTTAAACATAGTTTTGCATAAAGCATCTTTGTGTAATGAACCACCTAATAAGTGAAATTTTAAAGGAAACAGTGTGGGTTAGGGATATAAATAATTACAACAAAAATCATCTATTCATCAGGTTTCCATGCAGTCATTTCTAAGAAAATCAATTCTAGTCTACAGTGATATCTTGCATGAAATCTTGGAAGGCTGATGCAGGAGAATCAAAACTTCAAACCCAGTCCAGGCAACTGAGTGACCCAAGAACCTGTCTTTAGAGATGCTGACACTCTGGGTTCAATCCCTATTAGTGCATGAAGAAAAAGAGCCAGAGAGAAACAAAGAGATCAGTTCCTAAGAATCTTACTTGGATCAAGACACGAAGGAAAGAGAGAGGGAGGGGAAGCGGAAGGGGACGCATTAATATGTACATGGCCCAGTTCTTCATAATGAATGTAATCATTATGTATTGCAAACATGGACCAATACAAATTTTTAAAATTAAAAAAATAAACAAACCTTAATGCTGAGGGGATGTGTTAAATGCTTTGTTTTTATGATTCAGTTCTAATTGTAGCAGTGCACTTTCAGGAAAGTTCAATTAATAAATAATAAATTTTAAATTTAGGGTATTGATTCCTCAGCTGCTATCTTCTGAGAGGATCAATGTTACATAATTTATCCGCTAATTATTATTTTTAGTTGAATTTTAAAACCTTGTTTTGCTTGAGACAGGGTCTTGCTAGATAGTTCAGGCTGGCCCCAAACTCTTTGCAGTCCTCCTGTCTCAGCCTCCTGAGTACTGGGATTATAAAATGTGCACCACTACACCCAGTTTGAAAAATTTTTAAGTGATAAATAAATACATGCCTTTTGTTTACATAAGCACTATCCTAAATGTAAAGCACTAATAATTTTCTAATTTTTCCAAGAATTTTCCCTTGAAAAACAGAAAGTCACACCCCACAGTAAACAAATTTAAAATACCAAGTACAAATTAGCATGGAAAGTCATGAGTTTGTATGTGGGAGCAATACATATTTTATAGCACAGACTGTAAATCTATACAGATCAGGCAAACCTTTACAAAGTGCATGCTCATATAAATCTTTTCTAAGGGGAGACATACTGAGGATTAAACCTGTGGGTGCTCTCTCACTAACCTTCATCTCCTTCCCTTTTTATTTTGAGACAGAGTCTAGCTAAACTAACCAGACTGGCCTCAAACTTGTAATCTTCTTGCCTTAGCCTTAGAGTACCTGGGATTACAGGTGTGAGGCACCACTCCAGACTTCATATAAATCATTTTAATTTATCAATTTATATGTACCTGTTCATATGAAATTAGTCTGTCTTGAAAAGTAAGGTAAGAAATGAATTAAAGTAATTATGCCTACACTTTCTAAAGCAAACAAAGGGTGAAGTAAAGAAACAGAATTCACACACACACACAAAGTAATCAGTCAGGTTAGGGTAAAAAGGAGCACACTACTGAAAAGCAGGAGAGTGAAGTTTTCCCTGCAAGGGTTCCTGGGGTGGAGACCCTGGAAGGAAAACCTCAGGGGCGCAGCCAGAAGGAGACTGCGCCAGAAACAAAGAATGGAAGCCATCTGGTTTCCCTCAAAAAATGTACCTAAAGGAAATATCAAGATACAACACTCAAGCAATTTTGTAAATAGCTTATAGCTATAAAGAATCAATAGAGTCAATATTGCTTGAGATTTCAGAATACCCGTTTGTTTATTAAAATTGGGGCCTTTCTTTGTTGTTAACAGGGGCTTTTGTTAAATGCATAGCAATTAGCTTTGGGAACAAAAGAAAGTAAGCAAAATGTCCTACTCTGCTGGACTCAGCAAACAGGCTGATGTACTAACAGTCCCTCCTGATGACAACAGCTCACAATTGAACCAATAAACCATTAAACTGTACAGAGAGTAAGCGACAGCCAAATTTACCTTTTCAGTTTAAAAAAAAGTTTACGACTCTCAGTGGAATGTTTTGAAAGGTGTATTTTATGTTTTCTTGAGTTTCTTCATTTTTCTAGATGACTCAAGGAAACAGATCAGGGGAGGGTTCAAGGCTCTTTCTTGTGTGTGTGTGTGGGGGGGGTGGGAGATTAACATCAATATTTCAATATTCCCCTTCCCTCCTAATGCTCAGTTTAGTAAATTTATTGCTATTAATAATTACCTATTATGGAGAACATAAAGTGACCTCTGATGAATGGTGAATTACTAAACAAAAAAAAATGGTAAGAAGGAAATTATTTTTAAAAAAGAAGAAGAGGAGAAAGAAGATATTCAAGATCATCTTGGCACCTGAAAGCTACCTGTAATGTCAAATTCTGAAACTCACAACATGATTTAGAAAATGAAGCCTCTGGGAGGTCACTCTAATTTGTAAAAATTAAGCTTTCAAAGAATGTTGGAACCCTGTAATCCAACCTCATTTTCCAAGATAAGGTTCCAAGAATAAGGTTAAGGCCCTGTCCAAGGTTAGACATGCCCTGCACAGGTCAACATTAAAACTCCAGCCTCCTGAGGCCTAATTCCTAGATCTCACTCACTACACAAATTTCTCCCTTCCTTTCTCCTTCAAGTGTGGCCCAAGAATA